TAGATTCACCTCTCACACTCTGGCTTATAGCCTCACTTCTACTTCCAGGGGAAGTGAAATTGTCACACTCACACATTATTAGTTCCTTCTATGGTGCATATGGCTCAAGAATTTTAACAGTGTCAGTGAAAATGTCCAATGTTTATTCAACCATTAATTCGCCCTCAACCCATGCATGTACAGGCTGAAGTTATCTGGTATGCCTATATGCACATGGGGAAAATTTTGAGTACAAAAATAAAAGGTTGACCAACAATCTTGCTAGCATTTTTAATCAATACACCCAGGGGTGAAGACCTTGGACCTTCTTAAAGAGGGACATAAAAATCCATTTCAAAGGAATGTTGTCACCCAAATATTTGGCTTAAAAACTGTATTATGCATTTCCAGGGAGCTGGTTCAAAAATCTCTTGGAAAATATTTCCAGGGGAGCCAATGAAAAACATTATTTTTGGAGACTCCAGGATGTTTTGAAGGTCTTCACCCAAAATCACTACTTAAATACTGAACACTAAAAAATATTTGGGTTTTTATCAAATTTGCCAATCATCATTTGCTTCTTCATCATAACTTGCCCAGTCTACAAATGGGAAAAATTGTTGTCAAAAATGTTGTGTCTTGGGCAGGCATTACTTATTACTTGATTAGTCTATTACAAAGCCATGGGTAGCCTGTCCTCCCATCTAGGTGCATGCTTAACATGATTGGTGCATATAGAAATTATTTTGGAAAAGAATGTCACTATATTTATTTCATACATACAATAAAATAAACTAAGCATCTGTTAAGTACTGTTTAATAAACGAGCAGGAGTGTTTTATTAGGTTTAAAGACACGAGCGCGCAGCGCGAGTGGCTTTAGACCTAATAAAACACGACCTGCGAGTTTATTAAACGGCTTCAAACACGACTACAAATTCAATAGATATACTGCCTTATTAGTATTCTTTATATAAAAAATACTAATGAGGACACGACTACAATAGATACTGCCTTATTAGTATTCTTTACATAAAGAATACTAATTAGGAGTGTTTTATCAGGTTTAAAGCCACTGCACGTGACATATTATGGTTGACATGATTTGCCTTATTGGCTTTATATTATTAATGAGTGTTTGAAATTCCAATTATTATTAGCATTCACAAACAACAGTGTTACTACAGCCAAAATAGCAACAAAATATATAAATCACAGACAAAATATATAAATCACAGACACAGCTGATTGAGCTGAATGCTTATAAATGGAACTACTGAACTTAGTGAACTACAGTACATACAAGTATACAACTGTAAAATATCAGTAAAAAGTTGTAAAAACAGATTAAGTCATTAACTATATTCTGAATTCACATGACAATTGCTAATGTAACCCCCTGCACTCTTAATTCCTGACTATCAGACAAATAGCAAAAAATAGCATGAATGTGTTATTGTTAAGTTTTTATTAAATAGTCAAAAGATTCACACCGTACCTTAAGATACAAAACTTTTGCCGTTTGTCAACCAAATTCTTTGTCAAGCAAAGTTTCTTCCTTTCCACAAAAGATCCACGATATTTTACACAAATTTACAGGTATATTAAAGCTAAACTAGCCAAGCAGGCTAAGCCCATAAACCAAAATATGGCAAAATATTTACAATTCCCACTCATATGAAAACAATTTTGTTGAAAAAAAAGAAAAAGAAACTGCAAATCTCTCCCAGATTTACCTCTTCCCATAGGCAAACTTGAAAATAAAAATAATTCAACAAAAATCAGCGAGATTTCCAACAATATCCTTGATTTCGAAACAATTTTTTGCGATCTTTTTAGTAAAAAATGCCCGCCATTTTGTAAGTTTTCGGGGGGGGGGGTGAATGCCTCTCCTTAGCGCACTGGCTAAGCTTTTGGTTACACCACAGAATAAAGACATACAGAAGTGTAACTTCCATTACAAAACCGTAAGGCGCTTTTTACCGAAATAGCTGGCGGCCATGTTCTTAGCAAGTGCCCTAAAGAGAGGCATTCACCCCCCTGGAATATTAAATTTTCAATATGTTTTCAGGGGGGTGACTGCCTCTCTTTAGGGCACTTGCTAAGAACATGGCGGACTGAAAAAATCCCTTACGCACTTTTAATAAGAAGATACACTTCTGTATGTCTTTATTCTGTGCCTCAACCTAGTTGAAAATCAAATTCTCAAAAACGGCATGTTTAGCAATAATACAGCTAAACATTTTAGTCAAAGAGCAAATAAATGTAACCACGCCATTCTACGATGAAAACTCTAAGTATTCCCAGTCAATTTTAGCAAATATTTCAAGCACTAAACAGTGAAAAATACATCGCAAATTTCGTTAAAATTTGTGACGCCAATTTCGTAGCTACAAATGTAAAAAAATACAAAACAAAGACGAAAAACATTTACCTTGAATACTTTGTCGTGGCTTAGGCATGTTTTTAAAACAATTAGACCAGTTTACGCTTCAAGATCACCCTTTTAAAGTGGAAAATATAGCAAAACAACAAAAATGCCGAGAACTTTGGTAACATTCGCAATACGCGTGACGTCACGTTTTTCAACAAGGATGCAGTCAATGACGTCAGAAGTTTCCAATCCATTTATTTTATTATCCATGGTTCCAGCAAGTGTCGAAAATGAAGTGCCACCACCATACGCGGCTGTAAATATTGTGTAGCAAGTAATGGGGTTTACCTGTCAGATCTGGACACTTGCACATTTTCCGTAAAGCCAATGCCTACAAAACACAAAAGAATATTTTCTATTATTTCTAGGTATCGTTTGTTATAAAGACTGAGGATGGTATTGAAGAGGCAGAGAAGAGGAATTCCATGTTTGGATGATTGTAATTTTCGACTATAAGTCAACACCAAAGGTTGGACATGATCTTTTGACTGCTTTCCGTAGTCTGTACAGTCTTAAAAACAAAATGAAAACTATTAATTTAACCGCTGGAATACAATGCACTCTTTCGATGTTACGGGAGCTTAAGCAAGCAACGTTTTTGTCAACACGGGCATCACAGCGCTCGTGTAACGAAGTAAAAAACTTTATCTTGTGTTTTGTCATATGTGTTGAAAATTACCACAAACTGACATAAACACAGTCTCGTCTCTCTCTGTCACTCGTTGAAAATTAGGCTCTGGGTTAGACGACTAAAGAGAACTGCTATTTCGCAGAAGTTGAGCATTTCGCTAGGCAAAATCATTCTATAAACATACTGTATGTCAACACAAATACTTGTGTCCCAGGGCCGTCGCTTGACTCGCTTGCTAATGACGTCACAGATACTTCCTTGGCTAAACCTTGAAAAAAGCTGGATTCGTATTATCCTCACCTCAGGAACGATGGTTTCTAAGTTACGTTCTCGATTCTCATGTGAGGGATGAGTTGACAGCCACTCCACACTGGGAATGTCTGCAAGTTTTTCAAGAGCGCCAAATTTTTGCCAAACTTTGGGACCTTCTCGAACGTCAAAACACGCCTGGAAAATAAATTATGTTAAACGCGCTCTGGATGAGGAAATGTCGAGTATTGTAGAAAATCACAGGGTTCCCAATAGGCAATTCCAGCTATTAGTTTATGCCTGCAGGGGATGATGGGAAGTAAGGTATCATATTGCTGATTATGCTGAAAAATTTCAATAAAAACTACCGAAACAACCGAAATATTTCAATATTTACAAGTATAAGCTATCACTCCGTGTTTACACGGCCACCATTTTTATTTTTTCAGCATATTCAGCAATGTGATACCTTACTTCCCATCGTCCCCTGCACGCATAAACTAAAAGCTGGAATTGCCTATAGAAAAGATTCGTAGATGGAAATTTTTAGTATAACTTTTATACATTTATTATACCTAACCAGGAACAGTTGCAAAAAATGCAACTATATGCCCTCTAGCAGGAATCAAACCTGCGGCCCTGCGATTGAATTGAATTTATTACAAAATCTGAATGGCAGCTAAGAGCAGAATTGTATAGAGTTGACATTTAAAATACATGGTAAAACTAAGGGACCGTTCATTATTTACACCCGGGGTTGGTACCGAAGAGATATGGGTTGGGTAATCAAGTTTTTGACTAGCTCATGGGTTGGGTAAAAAAATTTGTGGCTGTCTGTCAGCTATAAAATAAAACCGAAATTACCATGCATTGGAAAATATGAAGAAAAATGTGCACAATACATTTTGTACCAAAGTAGACCATCAGTGATTGAGGAAGGACTCTATTATTGATCAGCAGGAACGTGGTTCCATTGGCACACTCAGTGAGTTTGAGTCTGAGTGAGCTTTTAAAATTTAGGCAACTTGATTTCTGTCACCATATAATCTTGTGTGTTTAATTATTAAGTACAGTAACACATGGGTTGGGTAAACATTATTTTGACCAATGTTGAGGTTGGGTAAATAAAAAAATTACAGTGTTTTTCGCTTCTCTTCGGTACCAACCCCAGGTATAAATAATGAACGGTCCCTAATACATATAGTAATATACGGTATATTAAAACTAAAATTTATATTACAATTAAAATGAATCATTATATGATACGATACTAGAAGGAATAAAACTTTTACTAAATCTTGTAGTCTTACAATTAATTAAGTTAATATGCTGATCATTACGTAGATTGTAAGTGCTCTAACCGAAGGTCTCTTGCTTTTCTAACATAAATTTTACACAACAGTTTTTGTTAAATATTTGGATAAAATGACAAAACCTCCAAAACCTAACTCTCCAAAATTCAGAATCTTCACACAGAGATGCCCTCGGACCCCCCTCCCCCAGGCGAGTGGTACCTTCGACACCACATAGACGTCTACTTCTTTCGAAATGCCTCCTACTCCAAATTCTATTGGGAACCCTGAATCATGTTGTCAAAAAATCGGAAAATATAAATTTCGATTGAAATGTCAGTATAGGCAGTATAAAATTTAGAAATCTAACCTTAGCAGCAAAATAGAGACCAACTCTGTCAGCTTCTTCTTCCAGTGTGCGAGAGTATGGCAAATGCCAAAACAGCTAATTTCAAATGAAACAATCAAATTTCGTTAACATTATTGACAAATGTTGACTGTGTTGTTGACAAAATGTGACTGAGAATTTTAGGCCGTAGAATAAAGCTTTAGACATGAATGGGACACAATTTGGATATACTATGTTTTATACGTGTTTTACTACGCTCTGGTGAAACGCAATCAGGAACACGCTTCGCACGCTTTATTTCTGGGGCCAGTTGATCAGAAGTCGATTACCGTAGCTTAACCCTAAGTTAAGCTAAAATTCCAAGCAAACTAGTCCTAGCGCTTGTTTAGACATTTGGAAAGATTTCTTCAGAAATTTTGTCTCAATCAGCAGGAGTTTTCTTCTCTGAAGTTTTGAAATTTTTAATAGACGTGCAGAAATACATAAACTAAAACAGCAGGTTGAATTTTAACCGAGGCGAGGGTTAGCGCTAATCCTGCTTTGGACAATACTGTTTATTGGGAAAATGCGCTCACCAATGGCTTATCAAAGCAAAGAGTATTGAACTAAAAACGCTTTTCAAAGGGGCGAAAAGATTGGCCTTACCCCAAGGATGGCATTCTGAATGGACTGTGTAAGAAATGCCAAAAAGTCGTTTGGAATCAGCGCCCATATTGTCGCCAATAATACAATCTTTATTAAGTTGACAAATCCGTTGAAACACAACTGCTCAGCCTAAAATGAAGAGCGTGAGTTTTTGAAAGCGGGAAAGAAGACGATGACCAGCGCTCTAGCTCCACCACTCAGCTGCTGGAATCGCCCAAACGAGACACTCGATCAGACGATGGATTCCCGGTTGGGAAACTGGGTTTATACTGTGATTTTATATGGAGTTTGTAAAGGCCCATTTGCACTCAAGAAAAATTTCCACGGACGGAAAATTTTCCGAAAATATCATTGTTATAAGTTGAAAATTTTCAACTTCAAAAATTTTTTTCTGCGGGAAATTTTCCTGCTCAGTGGAAATGGCGTTTATCAACACAGTATATAAGGCCTATGGTTCCTGGTTTCACGTATGTGGTACTTACTGAATGTTGCAATATTGCGTGTGCAATTTCGTGTCCCAGAATAATAGATAGTGAGTTGTCATCATTAAGAAATCTTAACAGGCCACTGAATACAAACATTTGGCCATTCTAAACAAAAAAGAAATTCCTATTTTAACTAAAAACTAAACTAACTTTATGCTGGATAGCTCTGTCAGTTCTAGTGTTCCACATGGCTACATTAATTGTTCTTGGCAGTAAGTGTCATCCTTTATTGGTCAGCCTAGAGGTCTATTATGGGGCATTCTCTAATTGGTCCATTGATATACTACAAGGGTCAGTTGTTCGAAAGCTGTAAGTTAACCTAAAATTCAAAGTAATCTTCCCAACAACTTGTATATATAAACTTGGAAATATTTTTTCAGAAATTTTGTCTGGATCCATAAGAGTTTCTGCCATTTCTGAAGACATGCGCAAAAAACTGTTGTATTTTGTCAAGTCAAACTGGAAGCACTCCTCTCAGTGGCGGAAATTCACTTTTTCCTGGGGGGGGGGGGCAAAGCCTCCTAAATTTCCGACAAAACGTTCAAATTTCCGACAAACCCCCCCATTTGCACTCGCAAAGACTGTTTTTAGCCATCTTTTAGGTCAAAAGTTCTGAAAATTTGTCCATTTTCCGTGAAGGTGGGGGGGGGGGGCAGTCGCTCACCCCACCAAGATTTCCGCCACTGACTCTTCTTGCATGCAAACAAGGTGAATTTTTCCAAGCAAATATGTATTACAGTAGCCAAATCCTGGTTACATACAGTATGTGGAAGGGACATGTGGTCGAGTAACCACACTGCCAACAATGCCCCCAACATTTTGTAACTTACAGGTAATACAAATGCATTTATTTCATCCGAAGATATCACATTAACCTCCCAGTTCATATGGTCAATCATTTCATCCGTATTTGCCATAATCAACCTCTCTGTGATCTCAAACACTCGCTTGTGATCCGGGTGTGTGACAGGGACAATATTCTCTGCATAACTCTCTAGTAATTGCCTCCACTGGCTTTCAGCAATTTCTCGAATCTGTTTGGGGTTGACGCCGACATAACGAGACCGCTTGGTGTATGGGGTTTCTTCAAGATGTATGTAATATAGAAATAGCCAGCCACCAGTAAAAATACTGATAATTCCGGCAATAAGTTCTTTTCTCAAAAATAAATGTTTTTTTAGTTTTTCTTTTTGTTGATCTGGAAGCTTTTTCCACCATTTACGAAATGTTCTGTGAAGATGTTTAGAAATGTAAGTTATCAAGTTATGGCTTACCCAAGTCTCACTGGCAGGGCCATAATACATGAGGGGAGGAGGAGCAGGGGCACCCCCCCCCCCTTGACAAAATTTTACTCACTAATTTTATGTTATTATAAATTAAGCCAAATGGCACTTACAATCTTGTGAATATGGATCTAACTGATATGACTTTGCATGTGTTGATATTTAATTGGGTACTTACTTCAGCAATTGATTATAAAGTTAATTGGGCCATTAATTAGATAATTAAATAGAATCAACACTTAATATATTCATTAATTTGAGTTAATTATTTACTTCATGAATTAATTATGAATCTAATTACTATAATTTACATTTACCTTCCAGCAACAACTGCCATTAATTTCAGAAGCTGAGCAATCGGACCAGAGAATCTTGCTAAGAATGCTCCAATCACAGGCAAAATAGGTGCCGCTCTGCGACGTTCACTCAAATGGAAATCCCGACATAAAATATAGCTATTCGTGGGGTTCAGTGATTTTAATCTAGCATTTCTTAACACTGAGGTTTTGAAATGAAATGTTCTTTGGATTCCAGGAAAATTTCCTAATCCATTAAATCGTTTGGGTAAAAGTGGTAGGGCAATGGAATCCTTTTGGCAAAATTTATGGGTTGCATTCTGTGGTTTCATTCCTCTGGTACATGTATAAAGAAAATTTAAGGCATTTGCCCTCCATTTAACGCTAAAAACCAATCGCTTTGTCGCCTGACCCATATGCGTAGTACTATGATGAAACATAATTTGACTTTCCCAGCGCCCTCGGCTCTCTCATCCGATTTCTTGGTAGGCAGATATATGACAGGATATGGTCAGCGATATGCCATATGGTCTCAGAATTATTCAAAAATACAATATTCAATTCAACACCATTTATATTAAAACAAACTTTACAAACTTACAGATTATTAAATTGTTTCGTTTTCTATTTTTTGCTATTATATTTTTGCCACTTTTTGTTCTTTTTTACATTTAAATATTTTTGAGGCAGTTGTATATACGTACAGCGGTGTTGTCCATGGGCCATGGGTAACATATTCAAAATGGCGGACGAAGACGAAGAAAGACAACGGTTTTCTCCTGATTCTTCTACGCAAGTTTTGAACAAGGAAAAACACAAACATAGGAAGAAAAAGAAGCACAAACATAAGTAATAGCCCTATACTTTTATTTCCTTTAAAACAGCGGTAGTATGCATTAATAAGTACATTAAAATAAACTGCCTAATAAAAGCTATATAGCCTATTTGATTATTTGTTGAGGTTGTTTCTGTCATTAAAAGTATCTTATGACTTCTATCAATTGTTAATTGTTTATGTATTATTCATTCGACAGTTGTAACAATAATCTTATAATCATCTTTTTAATATGTTGTAACAATATTTAATAATCATCGTATTTTAATTCGTATTTCTTTAATATTTTCTATAGGCTCGTTTACACTTGTAAATTTTGCTCCGATTTTAGGTGCGAATTTCTTCTGATGGATGTGAACAAGTGGATAACTTATGAATGTTCAGATGTGGGTACGTGTACTCCACACATTTGTAACTCATCTACTCGTTCACATGCATCAGAAGGAGAAAAATTGCAAGTGTAAACGGTAAAACGGGCCTTATATACTGTGTTGATTTAGGTTGGAACACAGAGCTACCTGAAAAACTGAAAAGATTAAATGTTTACGACATTTGTAACCATTTTCAGACCTAACCGGAGCACAGGCATTCCAACTCTCCTGATTTTACCGGGAGTCTCCCGAAAATTGTTTTTAGCAACATAATAGTCTGTCTTGACCTTTTTTGAAGTTGCTTTATGGCAATTTATATAGGATCACTTATAACAACATAGTCCCAAAATGCAGGAATGCCATTTCAGAAGACTAATTTTTATTATTTTTTTCCCAGAAGAACTAGATTTCAATTCACTGAACAGTCTCCCTAAATTTTACCTCGAGTAGTTGGAATGTCTGCTGGAGCAGCTGCCAAAAGTGCAACTATCTAGGCCCTCTGGCATGAATTAAACCTGCAGCCCTGCAATTCTGGCGAAGTGCTCTAACCAACTGAGCTACAGAGTCCAGTGTAAGATATATGGATAAATATTAGGATTTGGGGTATCTACAGTTCAGTAGAACTAAAGAACTTCAGTTGTTTTCATTATGAGCAAATTTTTGCACAGGAAAGTAGGTGCAAGTGGTCAATAAGTTAATATTAGTTGCCAGCTAACATGACTTTTCAAAGAGCCCCAATTAAAACCTTAAGAAATGGACTCCTGTTTTTACACCCTTTGTACAGTATATACTCAATATCTAAAATTGTTCAGATCGAAGAAAAGAAAACGAAAACATTCTGAAGATAGAACGTCAGATCATGATGACCAACAATCAGATTCAACAAACAATTCAAGTGCTGCATCAGGGGATGATGAAGGACCAGAAGCAAAACGGAAGAATGACAAGGAATTTGTGATAGACATTAAACCTTTGACTGAATATATTGATGATAGAAAGGAATTGAATAATGAACTTTTTAAGATATTAGAAAGAAAACAAATGAAAAAGTTGATGCCAAAATCTGTTAAGGTTAGTGATATGTGAGGGAAAACATCAACCTCGTACCCAGGATCTTTCTTTGGGAAAGACCCTGGCTGCGGCTGGTCACGTGCCTCATCAAACATTTAGCGCCTGAGGGGG